AAACCTAACTGAACCTGCCGCTCACACATTGCCAGATTGCAAGATCTAAGGCCAAGCTGGACGTCATCGACATATGTACAATAAAACACATTGCGAGGAATGGACAAGCGCAAGGAATTCATTTTGATGAGAAAAAGTGTGCAGCTAAGTACACCACCTTGTGGCACGCCTGTTTCCCGGACAAATAATTGGGAAAGAACCGTGCCCACTTGGACACGGAATGTCCGGTTTGACAGGTAATTTTCGATTATGTGAAACATTCTTCCGCGCACGCCAAGGTGGGACAGGTCTCTCAGAATTCCAAAACGCCATTGTATCATAAGCCTTTTCGATATCGAGGAATACAGAGAGAATATATTGTTTATGGGCGAAGGCGTCCCTGATCTGTGCCTCGATACGAACAAGGTGGTCTGTGGCGGATCTACTTTCTCGAAACCCGCACTGAAATGGGTCAAGCAAATTGTTTCAAGGATATGTACAAGTCGACAGTTTATCATTTTTTCGAAGAGTTTGCACAAGCAGCTTGTAAGTGCAATAGGCCTATAACTCGAAGGTAAAGAAGGGTCCTTGCCCTCTTTCAAAATGGTAATAATAATAGCCTCTTTCCAGGAGGTAGGGATAGTGCCAGAAAACCAGATAGCATTGTACAAACAAAGTAAGGTTTTTCGTGTTTCGATTGGTAGGTTTTTTAACATTTCATACACCACACGGTCAGAACCTGGGGCAGAAGTACTGCAGGAGTTTAGAGACGTTCGCAGCTCAGCTAGACTGAAAGCTTGGTTATATGCCTCGTATCTAGTGCATTTGTGTTCGAGTTTCTGCTTTTCTATTCTTGTTCTGTATTTCTGAAAAGTGTCAGTATAGTGGGATGAGCTGGACACCTGTTCGAAGTGTGCACCGAGGAAGTTTGCCTGATCTTCCAAGGTATCACCCTGAGTGTTTACGAGGGGAAGTGTGTGTACTTGTTTTCCTGCTATCCTACCGACCATGTTCCAGACTTTAGCCTCCTGTGTGTATGAATTGATCCCTGACAAAAACTTCTGCCAGCTTTCTCTTCTGGCCTGCCGACGCGTTCTCCTGCCTTGAGGCTTTATTTTCTTGAAGGTGTCAAGATTTTCGGCTGTCGGTGAGTTTCGAAGAAGCTTCCAAGCTCTGTTTTGCTGTTTGCGCGTGTTTCGGCATTCAGAGTTCTACCATGACACACGCCGTTTTCCAGGGTGTCCATTTGTTTGTGGGATGCATTTTGTTGCAGCATCAATCAAAAACGCTGTGAAGTACCGTATTTACACGATTGTAAGACGACTCGAATGTAAGACGACCCCCCCAAAATCGCATCTAAAAAAAAAAAAAAAAAAACAAGAACGCGCGCATTTTACACAAGGGAAATTTATTCACGTGGTTGCGGAGGATTATTCATCGTCGCTGGAGTCGTCCTCGCTGGTGCTGCTGCCGTCATAGCGTAAACACGGGCTTGCTGCGTGACCATTTCGCAGGTGACCAACAACGATCGATCGCGTAGGTCAGTCACGTAGGCCGCAAGCTTCGCCTCTAGTTCCAAAAAGCGGCCAGACTTCGGCCCGCGAAAGCTACGGCGCTTGGAGTCGCACGAGAAAATTTCCTGGCGCTGAAGCCGCCACTTCCGCACCACACATTCACCGATTCCGAACTTCCGTCCTGCTGCACAGTTGTTGGTTTCCTCCGCATGAAGAATAGCAGCCCGCTTAAACGCTGCCGTAAACGAGCGCCGAGTGTTCTTCGAGCCTACGGCACTCATGTCAGACAGAAGTGACTCGAGAGAGCCGGTCGTGGACACAAGCGACAGGAGCACGCGGCGACGCGCCCGCTTAGAAAATTGCACGACCGGCTTTATACCGGCTATTTGCTATTTATAAAGCCGGTCGTGGAAAATTGTATCCCAAAGAGGAGCTCTTCCGTCAACTACCAATTCCCCCTTAGGCGGCTCTTCCATCGATTACCGGTGCTCCCTCAAGAGCCGTGCACTCGTCATAAAGCACGGAGGAAGGAAAAATGTCATAAAGGCACTCGTAATGCGCGCAGTAGATGCTAAAAAAAGAAAAGCTTTTGTATAAGCACGCGGAAAACTATGCGCTTTGGGTTGAGCGGGAAACTATTCGAGATGACAATACATGGTTCGATTTCGATTCTAAGGTACATGGTTCGATTTCGATTCTAAGACTACCCCCCAACATTGGATTGTCAAATTTGAAAAAAAAAAAAGGGTCGTCTTACAATCGTGTAAATACGGTAGTTGACAGCAACATCAATGTTCAAAGTACATATGTCATTTCAAACTAGACGAGTGATGGTATAAAATTGTTCCCAGTCGGCTCTACTTATGAGCCACTTGGGAACACGTGGTGGGCACTCAGTTACTGTAGTTGTGCTCAAAACTACGGGGAAGTGGTCACTTCTGTACAGATTACTGACGACTTTCCACTGGAGTAGAGGCACAAGAGATGGAGATACTATGCTTAGGTCTATGGAGGAGTAGGTGTTGTTAGCGAGATTATAATAGGTTGGTTCTTTTAGATTTAGGAGACACGCGCTCGACGAGAGAAGGAACTGTTCGATCAGTCGACCTTGCGCGTCATACCGAGAGTCACCCCATAGCCTGCTATGCGCATTAAAGTCTCCAAGGAGAACATAAGGCTCCGGAAGTTCATCAATTGGAGAGTGTAAATTACGTTTTTGCAGCTGATAGCTAGGAGGAATGTAAATAGTGCAGATTGTGATCAGTTTATCAAAAAGAACTGCTCGAACAGCCACTGCCTCAAGGGATGTTTGGAGTTGTGTGTGCATGCGATTCCTTGATTCACTATGATGGCAACTCCTCCGGATTATGTCATGGCATCAACACGGTCCTTTCGGAAAATAACGTATTTACGAAGAAAATTTGTGTGTTTTGAATTAAGGTGGGTTTCTTGTACACACAGCACTTTTGGTGAGTGTTCGTGTAAGAGTTCTTGGATGTCGTCAAGGTTTCTGAGAAGGCCCCTGACGTTCCATTGTATAATTTGAGTGTTCATGGTGAATGTAAAATAGTGCTGTGTGTACGAAAAGCGAGTGGCTGTTTAGACAGGGAGTTTGAGTTCACTTGACAGGGCGGTCACCAGGCCCTGTTATCTGATTTTTTTGTTTTCTCGGCGCGCTCCAAGGAGCCAAGCCGCTCTTTCGGCACCAAGGGTACAGACGTATCCATTGCCTCCTCGGAGGCACTGGATGCCCGCACGTGCGGGCTGTTAGCTCGAATTTCGGGCCTCGCCTGGTGAGGTGAGGCCTTGAGACCCGAGGAATCTAGAGTCTCCGGTCTCTGTTTGGGAGTAGGCGGTGTAGCCTGGGCTACAGCCGCCTTGGGGGCAAGTGCCACAACCACCGGCTCGGTATGCGCGGGCTGAAGGAGTGGCGAGGGCTGGTGCGGCGGTGCCCCCTGACGCGCCGCATCAGCGTATGTAGGTCCATAGAATGGAGCGACTCTTCGCTGTGCTTCCTTAAATGTAATGTTCTCCTTCACCTTCAACGTAATTATTTTTTTTTCTTTTTTCCAGTATGTGCAGGAGCGTGAATATGCGGCATGGTTTCCTGCGCAGTTTACACAGTGTGGCGGTTGTTTGCAGTTCTCAGACACGTGGCCTAGGACTCCACATTGTGCAAAAATCTGGCGACCACGACAGGTTTTAGAGCCATGGCCATACCTCTGGCATTGGATGCAACGACGAGGGTTTGGTATGTAAGGCCTGATAGATGTCTTCGTGTACCCTGTTTGAATAGATTCCGGTAGTTTACTGGATGCAAACGTGAGTATTAAGTGTTTTGTCAATGTTTCCTTATTATCTCTTCTCATGATGATTCTCTGTACATTAGTGACATTTTGGCTCTTCCACCCCTCCAAAAGTTCAGTCTCAGTCAAGGCAAGTAAGTCCACGTCAGATACCACTCCGCGAGTTGTGTTCATTGATCTATGTGGTGTTATGGTTATTGGTATGCCACCGAAATCTGAAAGACGGTCTAGCTTTTCAAATTGTTCTTTGTCACGGATTTCGAGGAAAAGGTCTCCACTAGCCATTTTGGTTACCTTGTATCCTGTGCCAAGAGTTTCGGTAAGACATCTAGAAACTATGGAAAGGAGAGACGGTCCTGGCTTGCTTTTCAGTTTTTTCACAGTGGATAACATGAAAGTGAGGATATGTTTCTTTTGGCTGGTTGAAAAAATTTATATCACTGGTGCGTACCCGCTTTAAGCCGGTACGATCAGACAGTAGGGGGAATGCTCTAAGCATGCCTGTCTTATTTTTGTTCAGCAGCGTTGGCGGCCACCCACCACGGAGCACAACGAGGGGACGCTACAAGTTTGCGGCTGCTGAAACCTGCAGACACCAGCCGTACAACGCCACTACAACCCAATGCGCCTAGACCAAGGTAGGCTATTTGCACAGGGTTAACCCTAGCCGCCAGGAAGTTTGGAAGTAAACGGAAGAGAGTAGAAGACAGGACAGATAAATAGTAAGAGATAAAGACGAAGATGTAGGGAGAGAGAGATAGGAAAAGGCGACTGCAGATTTCCGCTGGGTGGGTCAGCCCAGGGGTGCCGTTTACGTGAAGCCGGGGCCAAAGGGGTGTGTTGCCTCTGCCGGGGGGCCTTAACAGTCCAATCACCCAGCGTCGGCTCAACCCCCAGGATCCCCTTTTCCCCGGACACGGCAAAGCCACGCAGGGCTAGGCGTGGGAGGGAGTAGAAACTCCCCAGTTAGCTCGGGTCCGTGGTGTCGCTACACACCAAACGCCTACTTGCGCAGGCGCCCCTGCGGGATGCTTATAAAAGACATCGTATATAAAACACAAGAAGTGCTACCTAGTGCATGTCTCTTTTAAAGGGGTTCAACTGCAGCACTTGCATAGATTCACACATCATTTGACAGTATGCATTATAGGACACGGAGATAGTGGCAAGTTGCCTAGCAGAGCAGCACTGCAGCACTTACGTTGACGTCCGCTTTCTTTTGGAACCGCCTGGTGGATTCCACACCCGCAATAATCTTTGTGCGTTCTTCTTCCGATTCGATACCCATCTGCAAGCAGACAAGTTACAGCCCATGCACTCATCAAGACAATGGTAGCATACCGGGGACAACAAACACAACAAACGGCCATCCACTCACACATCTACATTATTTTCCTCAAAGCAGTCGTTTACACCACAATGAACACAACGAAGAGATGACACAGAAGTGTTGGTTGCATCTCATACCTTGCAGAGAGCCTCTTCGTCCAACTGCAGCATCTCTTTAAAGCTCACACCGTGCTGCACAAACAGAGGTAGCCGTTCTTCTGCTCCAATGGCAGCTAGGACCAAGGCCACATCACCATAGGCTTCCCGATAATTCCTTTAAGAGAACACAGATCACTAGAATTGTGCGAAAACTCAAATGCTTCGAATATTCAAATGAATATTACAGTATTGGAATTCACTTCAAATAAAGTTATTGCCTAACAAGGTGTCTACAAATGCACATGTCACTTTTTATGAAGACGGTTTCACTGCAGTGAAGTGGTGCTAAGCCAGGAAAACACATATTCAGATCAGAAAAAATTTGCACTAGCGGAAAGTCCCGCTGCAACGTTTATTGAAAATATTACCCTCACATCTATTCATCATACTTCAAGATTTAGGCTTGTTGTACCGACCTATATGCTCTAGATATAGCCAATTTTAAAATGTAACATACCTCATAGGTTATCACATGATTCTACCAAAAGTCAAATCCTGCTACTATTCAAAGTGGTCTCCACTTCCTTTGAAGCAAAAAGAATGACATTTGCACAGACCTTGCTTAATTTTTTAAAAGATATTGGGCAGGTTGGCTAGGTCATTACAAATATGCCCATTTTTCTTTATATTTATAAGCGATATATGCACTATTCGAATTAGATTTGAAACTATTCGACAAAGTCACTAAACGCTTCGAGCCTAAAATTCTGCAGAAGCCCACATGGCTAACAACATTTATGATTACTATATTAACAAATATACTAGCAGGCAGACAAACCAACATATTTACTCGCGTAGTAAACACACTCATATAATTAACACACCCCCAACTTCAGCCTGGGCCCAAATTTGGATTTTTTTTCTTACCCTTGCGTAATGAACGCACCCCCTACATTTATCCGCTGCAGTCCCACTAAGGGACACCCGACACCTCCTAGCCCATTGGATCTCTTTCGTTATTTCGCCCACTTCGCCCGCTGCCGCACTGCATATTTTTGTTTCTTTTTATCTGTGCGTGGCGCGTCCCCTGTCTTTTTAAAATTACAGTCCAAGGTTCAATGAAACTATGTACCACAGCGAGGTTCACAAACGGTGCGAGTGTAGGGACATCGCAGCTGACAAGTACACAGCGAAGGTCGCGAAACTGCCCGCGCCAACCGACAGGGACCGTCGCTTCCTGCAAATACGAAACTTTAAGGCCTAACCACATGCACGCGATTTTGGAGTGACGACCACAGGACTTGCTGTCGCGATGCCAGTCGTGAAGGGCCATTCGCCGCCATCGCATCGCAGGCTTCTGGAAAACCAGAAAAAAAAAGCTTGTCACCCTGAAAGGATTGTGCCTATATATTACCGCAACATGGTTCAAGGAACGCAAGGTGCAGGCTACCTTTTCTGCAGTAACTTCTCATGTGGACAGCAGGGCAGTGGCCATATTTTGTCATTAATCCTATTATCGAGGGCTTGTTTTGAAGCTTCGGTGGTAGCTTACTGCAATTTGGTTACTTGCTACAGTGTCAAATGGCGTCGTCACGGCCGTCATGCGAGGTTGCCACAAAGTTGGCAAAGTGTGTCATAGCACACGCTTCTGGGCACCCCTCAAATTACAGCAGATACGGTTCTTGCGGTTAAACAATTGGGAGAAAAGATAGCCACGAAACATTTTTATGGCGTGTGCAAGCGGCACAGGGACAGCTTGCAGAAGATAGCGCAATCAACCACCTAAGATGAAGTGAAACAAAGAAGCTGTTTCCAAACAGTGCACGTGTATGTCGATTTCAGAAGGCTAAGCGACGTAACTTTTTTTTTTTTTTTGCATTACTACACTTTTAATGCGTCCATAACTCTGCTCCAATTTTTTGAGAAAAAAAAAAGTGCATTCACTGCCCGAATAAATACGGTGTTCGGTCACAGGGAGTCAAATTTAGTGTCGCAATGCTTCAGAAAAAATTCCAGCCTATAAAATAACCAACACAGGAAAAGGACTAGACTACCAACAGTTGGTAGTCCTTCGTTTCCATGCATTCTTTATTTTATAGGCTGGAGTTTTTTTCTGAAGCAATGCACCAATTAGCCCAACAACAAGTGTTATTAGTATCAGACATTTGTATAAAAAATAAGCAAAAAGATGCACAGCCGTTAACCTACTACAGTCCTTTTGTTCAGAGGTCCTTCAGCATAAAAGAAAGGTTATACTTAAATTTCAACCCTTGTGCAGGCAGTATAGATATTTTGAAAGGAGAAAGGATGCCCTATTAGCTGGGCTGATGCACGGGAGTACAAAAGCTTATGTCACAGTCTTGGCAGTGACTTTTTTGAGGTCCCATATGTTGACAACAGCCCAGAGAGGAATATGGCGATGCCTAAAGAGCCTTCTTTGACAATGTGCATGCTAGGGCATGGAGCTGCAACGAGCTCGTTCAATCAGGGCTACCATACACCGCACACAAAGTTACGACTGCCAATCTTCATTTATAAAACGAGCGTTCACTGAAACTGGCATCATTACAAGTGAGCTTTCAGCACTATTCTGTTTTAAGAACATTGCACTAACTGGCATTTGAACCAATCCTTCCAGATTGGTCTACTACTTTGCAAAATAAGCAGAAACGACAAATAAGAAAGCAGAGGCGATGTTTTCGCAACTCTGAATAAAAACCATGATCAGTGGGTGCACAGACAGATGATGAATGACAGCAGAGTACAATAAATACAGTGTTTTGGTGAAAACAGTCCTATGTGTGCCTCCCCCCACATTTAAAAAACTTCTCAAAGTTATTGTTGCAATAACGAATGATAGAAAAGAAACCATGTTGCCCGTCTGATTTCTTTGAATTTCCTGATGGTTGTCTGAATGAGCCGGTATGATAAAATAGCTACCCCTGCACACTAACACAAGCAGAGAGTTCGCTCACCCTGAAGACCGGCAGGCATTCCACGGTCCCTCTTCTTTAAGACTCCGTGCACCTTCCAGGCCTTGTTTCATAAACTCCGTTTCAAACTTGGACAAGACTACCGAAAGCTACAAGAATGACAGAAAAAAAAAAAAGCTACAAATTAGTAGAGTGGAGAGCGATAACCATGCGCTAGACACAAAGGGATGAAGTCAGGGCATATGGTAGTCAAAGAAGCATCATCCAATGCATACATCGTAAAGCGAAAGGTCCTAGTACAATGGGTGGCACAGCGAAGAACTTCAGGTAAGCCTCTTCTGCTCCGTGTATCATGTGCTCTCTGATCTGTATGACACTTGTTTGCGTAGAGTGACGATGGGTCATAACCATCACCAACCAATTTAAAGGCACACTCTCCACGCGAGCAACCAAGCATTATTATTACGGCCCGCATTGGCCAGTGCTGTTTTGATTAATATTGTAGGTCATCAATGTCGATGTAGAACTCTCGATAATGCATCGACTTGCGATTGCCACACGCGCCGTAGTAAGAAATTCCTGTCCACGCAAACGAACCGCCGAACGTACAGAAGCTTATTTTATTGCTAGAAGAAAAGAAAGAAACCGAAGTTTGCCTGTCACAACGCAAAACGGCAGCCGACAAGAACACCGATGGAACATAAAGGAAAGCCTAAAAGCTTGTGTAGCCCAGAGCCGGCACGCAGCGATGCCTATGATAAAATGATATATTGCTTTAGCACAGCTCAGTTTGAGCATTCACCCTGTCGTCTGTTTTTTCCTTTTCTTGACTGTGTAGCATCTTCACACTCACACTGAGCTGCGCTAAAGCAATATGATTTTATTCTCACTGTCATGAGTTTCAATACAAAGCGGATCATTAGCAAATCATCGTACATCTGTGCCACGTGATCGCCAACGCGTTACGAGTCACAAATAAAGCACCAAGGGATCCATTAATATCGTTTAAATTGGTTTGAACGTGCATTCTGTGTCCACACAGCTTCGCAAATTACCAAGTGTTTCTTTTTACCTCCAGGCATCGATATGCGGATTTCGCATAACTTTTCTTAAACGTAAAATACAATGAGAACTCGATTGTCTAAATACATTAGCAACTAACGGACGTAAAGTGGGAATGGGTTGCACATGTTCTGTCGCTCACGGAACCTATTTTGAGAACCCATGTGCATGTGCCAGAGCATCAAGGAGACGCATCAGATGCAGGGAAATGACTCCACGTTTACACTCGCTCACGGCAAATGCAAGCGTAGGTGACCGCATGCAGCAGTGTCAACATGAAAACCACAGCGACCGGAGGAACGCCCTACGCACAGCAAAAAACCTGACAGTCAACCCCGCTACGCTTGCCACCCGACTCGGTGGTTTTCGCTAGGCGACAGTGGCACCAGAAGACACAGCCTAGCTAGTAGAAGCAGCACGCTCAATCCACGGCAGCACAGTTTTGCGGAACACGCATATTTACAACAGTTTACAGGAGATTACAGGAGAGGCGGATCCAGAGAGGGGGTGGTAAAGGCGAACCCCCTCCCCCCCCCAACAGGCTGTGTCTGAACTCTCTTCCTCACTTCAGTGGTTGTAGTGCACCTCCTGCCACCAATCAGGAAAAACGAGTTGAACCAATGCGAGCACTCATTAATAGTATTTATGCAATGACAGGGTTTTTCTGCTAGTAGAAACAAAAAGTCATGACCACGCCCCTCCCCTCTCTCCTGTGTTACTTAAGGCGACCACCCTCCGCTAAAATGAGTGGTTGGATCCGCCCCTGGCACCAAGGGAGCATTTGTCATCAGAAAGGTGCAAAGTAAAAAGAGAAATAGAAGAAGAAGGACATGCTTTGTTAGACATTTAAACAAAACAAACAAAGGGAGTGGTTTCAGTACCACTACTCATGTGTAGTACTAAGGTACTGTACATGTCATGAGCTTATCTTCACAACTTTCAATTACCAACCAAGCAGATAAAGCTCAGAAACATGGCATTAAAAGGAGCCTAGCGATAAATACCAACTTCGTGCAAAATTTGAGCAGCAGTCAAATGGCAGGGGGGAGATGCGTCGGTTCACTGACCGTTTTGTATCCCTTGCGATGGGCAAGATCTGAGGGCATTTGTCCATCGAGCGTGACAAGCGAGGCCAGATCGAAAGGCACCTTCATGAGAAGTAAACGTGCGGCCCTGCCTTGTCCCCCAGCGGCTGCCCAGCTCACCGCCTGCAAGTGGAAGCAAAAAAGCGCGGCACAGTCAAGGGCACATTACCAGAAAAATGTAACGTAATATGACACACACGGGGTTACTCTGAGCATAAAAGTAACCCTACTGCGCATATCCTGCTTCCTAATTTAATTATTTCGTTACCGCGTGAAAACGGCTATTTTTCATACATGTCGGGAAGACAGTTCTTGTCAGTTTGAAAAGTATTCCAGCATGCATTGCAGCATACCAAATTTCGCTCAATGAAATGCCCTTTCCAAAAAATATATATATTGTAGAGCAAAAAAAATATTTGGAAATGAATGGAAATGTGAAAAGTGTGTGATTTTTTCATTGCCACCTGGTAAATAGTACAATAAAACGTTATATATTCAAAAAGATTTAAGACAAACAAAATTCAAAATATACATTTTGAAGATACATGACCAAAGAACAGTATAAAAAATAACAAATATTGCACAAAATGTTTTTACTTACATACACAAAGAAAAAAGGAACCTAGGTGCTGCTTCATTGCTCGTGCCTTGCGGTAAAGCAATGCTTGGTTTTTACTAACACGCAACTGAAGCTGTACTTTTCTCGGTAAACTCCTTTTTTTTATGACCCTGCAGGTATATCAATATACATGGATACCCATGATGTGAATAATCCCTTTATAAATTTGGTGTCCAAGGAACTTCACTATTTTGTCTAGCGTCACCTCTGTCCATGAGCCACCTCCCTCCCCATAGATTGGCGTTCCAATAAATGCACCCTAGAGTATTTCCATTTTCGCACATCGTATTAAAAAAAAAAAAACACCATTATGCGCAGTTACCAAACAGTTTTGCGCTGCTCCATAGTCGGGGTCAAGGTGTTCTCTGATAGCTCTATTTAAAAAAAAAAAAAAAAAAAAGGGGGGGCTCTGCAGCTGGCGCCAGCACACCGCGCCCTAGCGAAGTGTAAACCTCGCACGTAACCAGTAGCCATAAGATTGTACATAAAGGTCAGCAGCCACATGCTTGTGGCATAGGAGACAACTTGAGGCCGTAAACAACAACACACACACAAAAAAAACTCATGAACGGCTGCAGATGTCTCCGGCTGACGCAAAACATTGTCACTATAAAACTCGAAGTTGAAGTGCTGCCATCCAAGGACTCTAAGCTCGTCCTCGCTAAATTCAGGTGCGGTTTCAAGACAGTTTTGAGCAACTCGTTTTTTTTGCAGCGCAGGTACGCACCCATGCGCCCGTGAGGACCCCATATGTGTGACTAGCAACACTAGTTGCGCCCCTGTGTCTGATGTAACAATACAAGCGAAACCAAAGCTGTTGGAAACTGGCTGGGAAGACAACCTCCACACTTTATACGTGTGACAGGCCTTCGGAAATATTTTTTCTATGGAATAAATTTTCCCTGGTTCCTAGCAACTGCTCTCTATGGAATAGCTGGCATGAATTTCTAGCAATTATTACTGCTCAACACTGTTAGATTGCAAGAATGACAGCTTCATTTGATATTGAACTTACTAAGGTTATTCCAATAACACATCTTTGATGTTACTGTAGCAAAAAGACAAGGGGCACGCACTTTCGTCAAGTTCACCAGCCAAGTGCATTTTCTCAACAACACATGCACATTGGTTCGCGCAAAACTCTGTCGAAAATTACTATGTTGCCGAAATGGGCGAATTCAAATTGATTCTGAAAGTTGAGTGGCTGGACTAACCACTAGAAGGGCTGGGTGCACGAGGAATGAATTCAACATGCCGAAATCGACAATCCAAAGCGTCAATCACCGGCGATCAATTCGAATAGGCATAGTAATCAACTGCTGTTAATGGCGCAAGGGCCATTGATGGTCAAAGAGCGCCAGGAAATGATATCGGATGAGAGCAATGGTTATGTTAAATAGCTGTAAAAGGGCATAAGATTCTGCGCTCTAAAGGTGCGTAAGACATATATTTATTAAAATCATGAAAGTGAAGCATGCCTGGTGAGAATCAGTCTTAAGTTATGATGACACCATAGAATAGGAGTGTTATATTAGCACCGATACCTCGCCGGCGCCCTTGGTCCCAAGGGCTGGGAGACAGGTGCTCCCTTTGGATGTAGCATCCGCAGCAGCAGCCTCCTTTCAGAGGCCGTGCTACCGATCACTTGAGTAGATAACATGGAAAGTATTTACTTCCTTTAAGAATACATTCAATGCATTATATTTACAAAGAGGTTCGCGACCAATAAACATAGCTGGGTGAAGGGGTATGTGTTCCTTGTACGCTAGTGGAAAATGTTTTTTCCTGTAAGCCTCTAGCTCAGAGCATTCAAGGAGTATGTGGAGTACGGTAAGTGGACGGCCACATCTGTGACAGCTGGGTGGGTCACCACCGGACAAAAGGTGTGTGTGCGTGCTGTGTGTGTGTCCTATTCTAAGCCGACAGAGACTGACCTCTGTACGGCGTGTTTTCGACGTGGGTGGCCAGTTACCGAGGTATGGTTTAATCAAGTGCAACTTGTTATGAGTTTGTAGATCCCATAACTTCTGCCAGTAAGCCCTGAGCTTTTTCCGTATGTTTGGTTTTAGGTCCTTTATAGGGACAGCAACTGAAGAGTTGGCAGAGCTTCCGTTAATTGAAGTGGCGGGCTGGTCGGCCAACACATTTCCTTCGATCTCGCGATGTCCTGGCACCCAGCACACGACGATATGTTGCTTGGAAGTATAGGCCGCGCAGAGTATTGAATAGAGGGATATAATTATAGGGTTTTTGTGTTTTTTAAGATTTTTCAATGCTTTTACGACACTTAGGGAGTCTGTGTATATAACTACCCTTGGCGTATTCAATTCTTTGATGTGTTTAACGGCTACGAATAACGCGTAAGCCTCGGCTGTAAAAATGCTTGTGCTGGTGGACAGAACGCCAGCATCCGAGAAGGATGGGCCGACCGCCGCATAGGACACGCCAGTATGGGACTTGGATGCATCAGTATAATATTCTGGACAGTCATATTTATGTTGCAGCTCTAAGAAATATATCCGAATGTGTATGGGGGAGGCATGCTTTGTGACAGCTACGAAAGATGTGTCACAGTCTATAACCTGCACTGCCATGGCGGGAGCTGCAGAGCGGGGGGGCTGAGGTGGTATTCAAGCAGTGGGACATCTGTTTCTTCAGCTAGGTCTCTAACACGCAGCGAGAAAGGGCGTGCCATTGCGGGTCGATTGTAAAAAAGTTGAGAGCTGGACAGGTCGTTGATGATGGGATATGCAGGTTGCTCACTGTTCGCATTTACTTTAAGGAAATATATGAAGGAAGAATATGTTCTCTGCATATGGAGTGACCACTCGTCCGATTCTACATAAAGGCTTTCAACTGGGCGTGTTCTAAAGGCACCTGTGGACAGGCGGATGCCTTGATGATGAACAGGGTCCAACATTTTCAGAGCGCTTGGCGTGGCAGAGTGATAGACTATTGCCCCATACTCAAGACGTGAGCGTATAGGGCTTCTATACAGATTCATGAGGCACTTTCTGTCGCTGCCCCACGTTGTTCGTGACAGCACCTTTAGGATATTCATTGTTTTCAAGCATTTATTTTTAAGATGTTTTATGTGCGGTACAAAGGTTAACTTTGCATCTAAAATTATACCTAGGAACTTATGTTCTGTGTTTACGGGCAGACGCTCACCCTTAACGACCAGTTCAGGATCAGGGTGCAAGCCTCTTTTTCGTGAAAAAAGGACACAGGTGCTTTTTTGTGGGTTCAGTTTGAACCCGTTTTCATCAGCCCATTTGGATACCTTGTTAAGGGCGAGCTGAACCTGTCGCTCACAGATCCTAAGAGAACACGATTGAAAACTTATCTGCACATCGTCGACATATGTTGAATAAAAGATATTACGTGGGATGTACAGACGGAGAGAATTCATTTTTATAATAAAGAGCGTACAGCTGAGCACCCCACCCTGTGGCACTCCGGTTTCCTGTACAAATGTTCGGGACAGAACATTGCTCACTCTAACGTGGAAGGTACGATCAGACAGATAGCTTTCAATGACACTGAACATATTACCGTGTATACCTATGTGTGAGAGGTCTCTCTATATTCCAAACCTCCACGTAGTATCGTAGGCCTTCTCCATGTCGAGGAACACAAATAAGAAAAACTGATTATGAACAAAAGCCTCACGTATGTGTGCCTCGATACGTATAAGATGGTCGGTGGCAGATTGGCCCTCTCTAAACCCGCACTGGTATGGGTCGAGCAATTTGTTTGTTTCTAAGTAGTGGAGTAAAACGGCAATTAATCATTTTTTCAAATAGTTTGCAGAAACAGCTTGTTAACGCTATAGGTCTGTAACTTGATACAGTAGAGGGATCCTTTCCCTGCTTCAAAATTGGAATTATAACAGCCTCCTTCCAGGAGGAGGGGATGCGATTATAAAGAGAGAGGAGGGTTTCTTCAGTTTCGGAGGGTAGTTCCTTCAGCATCGCGTACATTACGTTGTCAGAACCTGGGGTAGATGTATTACAGCAGCTGAGTGCTGTTCGCAGTTCTGCTAAGCAGAATGGTGCATTATATGCCTCATTTCTTGCGGATTTTCTTTCTAACTTTTGTTTTTCTATTCGTGCCTTGTAATTCTGGAAGGATTCGGAGTAGTGTGAGGAGCTCGATATGTGTTCGAAATGTGTGCCAAAAAAGTTGGCTTGATCCTCCAAGCTTTCCCCGAGGCTATTTACTAGTGGAAGGGAATACGTTTGTTGGCCCTTAATTTTCTTTACCTTATTCCACACTTTTCTCTCATCTATGTACGAGTTGATACTCGATATAAACTTTGTCCAGCTCTCTCGTCTAGCTTGTCGACGCGTTCTCCTTGCCACGATTTGACCCGTTTGAAATTTTCCAGGTTTTCTGCTGTAGGGGAATCGCGAAGCAACACTCATGCTTTGTTCTGAGTGGTCCGTGCTTTCCTGCATGCGTCGTTCCACCATGGGACTCGCCGTTTAGAAGACATGCCGCTCGTTTTGGCAATACTTTTAGATGCGGCATCAAGTATAAAAGCTGTAAAATACATGACAGCATCATCTATGGTCAGGGCAGACAGCTCAGTCCATGTCATGTGTGTAAGAGTTCTATACCCTTCCCAATCAGCTGAGTCAATCTTCCATCGAGGAACCTGCGGGGGTAGTTGATCTTTGTTCGGCGCACTCAGGATGATTGGGAAGTGGTCACTCCCATAAGGGTTTTTAGGAACGCTCCACTTAAAACAGGTAAAAGGGACGGTGATGAAATGCTAAGATCTATGGAGGAGTACGTGTTGTTTGCAAGGCTAAAATACGTAGGCTCCTTTATATTTAAAAGACATAAACTAGAAGAAAAAAGGAGCAGCTCAATGAGACGTCCTCGCGCATCACAGTGAGCATCGCCCCACAGGACATTGCGTGCATTAAAATCACCTAGAACCAGAAACGGCTCTGGGAGTTCATCTATTAATGATTCTAGATCACGTCTGTGTAGCTGTTGATGCGGTGGTATGTACACAGAACATATGATAATGAGTTTGTTAAAAAGTACAGCTCGACTGGCCACTGCCTCAAGGGCCGTTTGGAGCTTCAAATGCTGGCATGCTATACTACGATCAGCTATAATGGCTACACCGCCAGATGGTACGACAGCATCCTCTCGGTCTTTTCGGAAAATAATATATTGTCGTAGGAAGTCCTTGTGCTTAGGAGTTAAGTGCGTTTCTTGCACACATAGCACTTTCGCGTTAAACTTACTCAGAAGTTCTTGGACGTCATCTAAATTTCTAAGTATTCCCCTTACGTTCCACTGTATGATTTTGTCGATAGCGAAAAAAAAAAAAGAGGGGGGGGGGAAAAAGTGCTGTGTGCAAAGAAGACGGAGATTAGCTTATTTTGCAGGGCCTTTGTCAGGCCCTGTAATAGGCGTTCTGTTTTTTTTTTTGGGGCGATCGAGAGAAGCTCGCCGCTCCTTCGGCGCTTCCTGCGCCGTTTGGCTTGAACTGGTGTCCATAGCCTCTTGCGAGGCACTGGACGCCCGCTCTAAAGAGCGATCTGTGCATCGCTTAGACTTCGCCTCGATCGACGAAGTCTTTGTCCCCACCGAGCTGGGGGTTGATGAAGCCCCCTTGGCCTCGTGATTGCCCTGGCTGCTGCCAGAGCTTGTATAGGTCACTGGTGTGGACAGGCTGAATGTGGGCAGGGCAGAGCTGGCTGCTCCCGCCGTAGGGGCTTGTGGCATTGGCCTCAGCACGCTAGGTGCGGTCCGGGCAACTGCCAAGGGCCTTTGTGGTGCCGCCCCTCGTTGCACCACTTCGGCAAAAAGGTGTTTTTAGTGCCAATGATAACGAGACCCGTTGTCTTGCTTCCCTGAATGTGATATTTTCCTGAACTTTTATAGTTATTATTTCTTTTTCTCTTCTCCAGGCTGGGCACGCTCTGGAGTATGCGGGGTGACTACCTTCGCAGTTAGCACAGAGGACCTCGTCATGACTACATTCATCAGCACTGTGGCCGGTTGTGCCACACTTAGCACACATCAGCTGTCCTCGGCAGCTCTGGGATGCATGACCAAATTGCTGGCATTTGAAACAACGCCTCGGGTTTGGAATGAAGGGTCGGACATGGAGTTTTACAGAGCCAGTTTCGAGAGTCTCAGGTAAAGTGGTTGAGTTGAAGGTGAGTATCAAGCGCTTTGTTGCTATTTCATTGTTGTTACGTCTAATTTTGATGCGCTGGACATGTATTACACCTTGGTCCTTCCATCCATCAAAGAGCTCTTCTTCACTCAGTGTCATCAAATCTTCGTCCGATACCACGCCCTTCACGGTATTCATGGTACGGTGTGCGCTCACAGAGACGGGGATGTTACCAAAGGCTACGAGGTGCGAGAGTTTATTGTACTGTTCCTTGTCTTTTAATTCGAGAAGCAGATCTCCACTTGCCATCTTCGTGGCCTTATAACCGGTTCCAATGGTCTCTCTCAAGCACTTGGCCACAAGGAAGGGTGAGATCGCTCTAGCTTTTGTAGATGATTGTTCGCAGTGGAGGACATGATATTTTGGGAAAGTTTCTCTGTTTTTGGGCCGAAGTAGTGAAGTTGCATCGGTGCGTACCCTTTTCGAAGCACCATCAGTTAAAGAGGGGGTCGAGGATCCCATGAGAAAATGTGTATTTTTCGGTAACGGCGCCTGCCACCCACCACAGAGTCTAACGAGGGGACGTGGCAGAGCATGTGGGCATGTCTGCGCAACGCCAGCAGTACGCAGTTACTATAACCCAATATGGTTTACCCTAGTTTGGATAGCCACACAAGGTTAACCCTTGCCGCCAGGAAAAACAGAAGTAAATTGAAGAGAGGAGAGATCAGGAAAGATTGAAAGTAAGAGGGAAAGACGAAGATGAAGAGAGGCAGAGACAAAAAAAGGCGACTGCCAGTTTCCCCTGGGTGGGCCAGCCCAGGGGTGCCGTCTACGTGAAGCCGGGGCCAAAGGGGTGTGTTGCCTCTGCCAGGGGGCCTTAAAGGTCCAATCACCCGGTGTCGGCTCAACCCCCAGGATCCCCTTTTCCCCGGACACGGCAAAGCCACGCACGGCTAGGCGTGGGAGGGAGCCGAACCCCCCCCCCGTTAGCTCGGGTCCGTGGTGTCGCTACACACCAAACGCCTACTTGCGCAGGCGCCCCTGCGGAAAAAAGATTGCCTCTGCATGCATGCACCATGATAATCTACCATTTAAAACAAATACATGCTGTCCAATTCTAATATGTGTTTCTCCTCAGGGGGCTTTCCGCCAGTGCTTAATATTTAAAAGAAACAAAACAAAAAAAAACTTGGCATTTCAAATATGTGTCATTCGATTCACAAGAAGTGAATGCAACAGAACACCATTCGATTTGTTATTTGAGCTTTTAGAACACTTAAAGACCTCTACCATCACACAAAGTTGCAGTCAGGACTCACTCGCTCGCTGGATTCCGTGCCGACCGGTTGTGCCCTCGCGATGTCCGACGTCAGCGTAGCTATGGCCGACTGGGCTGGCCCTATGTCATCTCCTGACGCCGACCTTCGACGACAGCACAGCTCTGACCTACCGCACTTGCCCTACGCCATCTCCCGACGCCGACAAGAGCTCTCGCAAGTGTCCTCAGACTCCTGTGACTGTGTTTCCATCTTTCCTATTTCTCGTATCCCCTCGATATGTCCTCGATCGCTGGCAAAGCGCATCTTCCTCTCTCCCTATACCTTTAACTCTCTCTATACCTATCTCTCTCTATTCCTATTCTTTTAATACCTCCTCACCCCCATCCCTTGTGAGCTACTGTTGAGGTGTCGCTCCCTGAAGCAGACAGTTACGGGGCTCACTTTTCTCTTCCTTTCTCTCTTAGAACCACTTAGTAGTGGTCAGGACTCGGGAGTTAAGCAAGAACGTTAAGCTATGTTTGTCGTTTTACAGGGCATTCTCCTTCCTCACTCCTAAAAGACATATGATCCACATGCAATAAAACCCACGTGAACGCCGAAAGAAAAAAAAAGGGAGGGCGGGGGTATTGATGCCGCGCTGTTGAGCGCAAGGCTTCCTTCGGGTAATTTGCAGAGGTGGCGGCTGTCCCATGCAGTGCCCAGTGCAGCGGTGCCCCTAGCATCATCGGTGCGCAGAGGGACCCCCTCTGGCAAGGGAAACCCGCGGCGCTCCGCACACCTCCCCTTCTAGCCACCCTAACACAGGCGACCTTGGCCGCACACAATGCAGTACAAATACAGGAAAGGTGTATAAAGCCACACCATCTCATTGTCACAGCTTTATATTTTAAAAGATAGTTGAAAAGCTTAAAATAAAGGCGGTTAAAGGGATTGACAGCCGATTTTATTGGCACAGTACATAGGAAGTGTTGCCATGCATACAACGTGGATTGCTCTTGTGTTATTCATATCCCACTTACCGTCCATCCTCTAGAATCCTGGCGTTTAGCATTGGCACCTCGATCCAAAAGCAGCTCTATGAGCTGGCAGCGGCCTTGTCGGGCAGCCAACATTATTGGTGTTGCGCCGTCACTGTCAGAAAATCAAGGCGGCAAACGGGGGGTTACATTTCTTCGTAGTCAAGACTCCATGTCAGCAGACGGCTTATATCAAATACTATTTTCAAGTGAAATTAATCTCTTTTGCTTTAACAGGCAAAGAACCAAGAATGTCTATTTTTCAACTTGCCTTGCACAACATTAAGTTACCATGCTTCACATTGAAGAGATAATACTAATATAAAACAACAAATCACTGTCAATAAAATAAACAATCTGCCATGTATATCCTTGCTTTTCTTTCGCATTCACAGGTGCGTTGTTTTTTTTACTAATTTTCGAGGTGTCTACATCATTCATCATAGACTCCAAAAATTTCATGTACTGCTTGGTTCTCTCGTACAGTCACTCAACCATAGAGTAATATAAATGGTTAAGAGAGGACACTTCCATAGGCCCTTGCGGCTGATTTTGGTTCGCAGCGCACCAAATGGGTGTGGTGAAGCTTTGCAGCCTCAGAGATAGCAGATCACAGAAAAGACTTTCTCGAAGGCCATTTTGTAGTCGCTAGGGATAATTATACAGCCTCAGATACCACTTTTACATACATTCTCGTCACTGAGGCCATACTTTGTTTTTTTTTAAAGGCGTCGTTAGGATGCATCGATGAGCTTCGTTTAAGCTGCACCGCTAGAGCGGCAAGCACACAATGTCAATGTGTGTCTATGCACACAATTTATTTAAAACATAAGAATCATTGGAGGAGCGAAAAATTTTATTTTCAAGCGATATTCTTGGTAAGCACATGCCCACTTTGTTAATGTTAGATAAACCCAGGCACAAAGAGAGGTTCATTGCACTGCGAGACGCGAAAATACAGCTGCCATATCATTATAAATTACACACAAGAAATAAACATATAGGCAACAATATAACAAGAACTGCAGCAGAATAAAACTATAATAAACACATGCAACTACACATACAGTGCACAACATGACATGGCAGTAGTTGCCTCAGTACTTGACTCCGGCAGGAACCGAAAAAAGAGAAGAAAAATGTTGGCTATGTTTTTTTCCCCACTTTTGCACTTATTTTCTCTTACAGACTTTATACATTGCTCTTTCGCGAAAAAACAGCCACAAGCAATCGCCACAGCAAAAACATAGCAATTTTAGGTGTCATGCAAGCCATAACAAGGTAGGGGAGTTTACTCAAAGATGATGTCCTAGCTTCAGCTGGCAAACATTTTTCTAGATTCACCACTTCTCTTATTGCGCTCGTTTGAGCTTCAAGCAATCGGCAAACGGCACAGATAATGATACTACGCATAGCTGCGCTTTTCACAAAAAAAAAAAAAACAACTCACTCATGCAGTGAATTGTAATACATGTAGCGGCACAAAGAAATTCTAACCACACGAGCGGCGACTCGATTTCGTGAGCCAAGAAAGAATTTTCCCGCAAACGTGCTGCGAAGCATTCCAGACAGTTTTCTTTTGAGTGAAGCAATCCACGAAAACAGTAAGCGAAGTAAACATCACAAAAAAGATTTCTGCGCCGAACAGCACAATGGCAGAAACGTTCGGTTAAAGCTTCAATGACAAATGCCATACGCACTTAACATAGTATTGATGGTGTTCGTACCTACCAGCAGCCAAGCTGAGAGGCAGCTGAAACAAGCGAAGACCACGACACACGCCAGGCACGTTATCGCACATATTTTATGGCATCTCTCTACTGCTGCCCGTACTTCTTCATTGCCGCAAATGCTCATGAACACGGAGCGTGACAACGCTGCCGTCGCGTTGACGCCATGTGCACTTCTCTCGCGTCCTATTCATGCCTGATCCCAGCCCAATGTTATCGCACCGTACAATAGTGGACGATAAAGACGGATTCAGGCCACTATCACATACGCAAAAACACGTAGACGTATAATGCACTTGAAAAGGTACTGTAGTAAATAACTAGTAAGCGTGTTTCTTTGAAGCAGTAAGTGATGTATTGCCATCTTACGGCTGGGGTGAAGCTGTGTAGCTCAGCCGCTTTTCGGCCCGAGTGATCACTTTTGTCATTTTTAAGTTACTCTATGACTCAACTACTTTCCATAAAACAAGAGTATGCATTAGAGCTGTGTGAATAGCAAAATTTTTGGTGCAATGCGAATCTAAATATTAAATTATCAGTGCTAACTGAACCAAATATTTGTGGAATGCTTGTTTCATATTTTCTAATACTTCGAAGGGAAGTGAACGTTTCATAAGATAGGAACATGGAAGTCATCTTTTGGCTAGGTTCGGTAAGTGCTGGAGGGGTGGTGCTCTGTAAGGCACTGCAGAGACATTTATTTACATGGTCTATGCCATAGTTTGAAATAAAATTTCTGGAAAGTTTACCCCGCGTAATAGGTGCCCCCCAATCTTGTAGCCGAGTGTGTGGAAAAGGGTGAGCCTATTGTGGGAGTAAATATGGTATTTCCTCCACCTCTTCAACTACTGTGGAGGCCAAGCTGATTTAGCCGAAAAGGGCATGCTCCCTTTGAATTCAGAGTTGCTAATGTGCCCTATAGACATCAATGTATAAAAACATACTAAATTTCAGATGCCAAAAATCTAATTTTTTCAGACTTCCTAACGAAAATGACATTAATTGAAGCCCCCACCTCTGCTGCATAGTTTTGAACCAGCACTTTTGTGAAGTGATTCATTTATAGCCATAAAAAAGCACTAAAGACAGCGTTGCTCCAATACCAAAGTGCAATGCAGTGGCGCCGCATATTAAAAATATGAAAGGGTTATTGTAACAGCACAGTACATCCCCATGTTCGAACCAGCATTTTCTTGAGTTAATACATTTGCAACCATAGCACAGCCTTAAAAGGCAGCATGGCTGCAATGCGAGAATGTGATGGCATGAATCATATAAAAAAATCTTAAGGGGCCACTGCCAAACAGATATTGACTGTATTTGTGTTCGGGAAGGCCGAACACTTTGATTAGTAAAACTCCGGTGCAAATGGCATATACAATTTAAAAAATATTCGAAAGTTCAAATATTTGCACACCCCTAGTCTGCATCTCTTAAGAAGTTAAAGGGGGCAGACTGGTCTCTGGGACCAAAAAATGACAAAAAAATTCATTTTTTAAAATTGACATATTTGGTTTCTGCAAGTATTTTTTTATCTCTCTGCAAATTTTCACACATCAGGAAGTGGTAAATTATTTGTAATGTCATTCTAACTGTCCAGATTCTAGGTGCTGTTAACATGCAGAACCTGCAAAAAATGGGGAACCGACTTCAAGGCTTCTTTGTATTTTCAGTCGGTTTATTGGTCTTTTAGTCGGTTTATTTTGCCGGCACCTGTGTTAGAAGCTCTGCTACGAATTTATGAGCACCTTTATGAGGATTGCAAATATGTGCACCATGATTGTTGCTTTTTGAAGAAGCTGTGTGCTTTCAGTTTTTTCTGTTTTTCTCAAAAAAGTAAATTTATGACAGTTCCATTCAGAGGCCTCAATATCTCTGCAGCTAGGGCTAGTACAACAATAATTCTTTTTGCCATGGAAACCTGTATGTATCTAGAATGCAAGTATGGGAGCAGAATTTAGAGCCCGAGCCTTTTTAATTAATGACTGATCAAAACTGTAACACAATTCCCGCTGCTTTTGAAAATGGATAGTTCCTTTTGCTGTAAAATAATTAAGAAAGGCCTAAAAACAAAAAAAAACTCTTGCATACTTTCAATCTATAGTCATTAGTCTATGTTGGCATATCTTAAATATCACTTTTAATTAAGCACTTTTTTTATGGCAGCCTTAAACAATATGGGGTGATCAGGAACAAGATGAGTTACAGGAAAACTAATTTAATATTTGAATTCAGCAGAAAAAACTTCATAATCCTGTAAAGTTTGATCAAGATCACTGAAGAAATAAACAAAAAAATGTCTAAGACCAGTCTGCCCCCTTAAACACTTATTCTACAGCAAGTTTTTTAGAAGAAGCAAGCATGAAACACGTAGAACAAGTACCAGTACTACAGTGCACCAAATGTATCCAAGTGTAAATTGGTGGTACATGAAAAATACCGTGTATACTCGCACAATGAACTCACTCTCATAATGAACCCATCCCTCTCTTTGATCCTTGAAAAAAGAAAAAAAGAAAACCCTCTTTTAATATACTATCTGACCATTTTATTTCGGTGTGATAGCCATTGCCATTGACCATCGAGACAAAGTTAAATCACACCATTATATCATAAAACAACAATGCAATCAAAATGAAAACATAGTTTAACAACCACACTAAACAGTTGCAAGCAATGTGAGCACGAACGAAGTCAATCAAAATTTAAAAGCCGTGCCTTTTGTGGTATAGAGCCACGCTAGCACAGCAGTGCGAAAACAAGGCAATAAACGAAGCGCACAACCGCTCCCATCTCGCTAGTACCTGCACTTGCAACGTGCCATCCGATGCTGCTTTTCGTTCTTGTTGACAATAGGCCGGTACGCTGGCAACATCGCCAGCTTTAAACTTAAAGTTAATTGAGCGTGCGCTGCAGCATGGGAGCCGAGCGCCCGGACGATACTTTCAGCGTCAATCCGTATGGGTTGGCCTGTGCACGCGCTATCTGCACAGTCGCGCCGCAAGTGCTTGAACATGCCAAGCACCCTCCGCACGCAAGTGGGGGGCGAACTCTCACTGTACTTGCAAAAAGTATGTCACGCATTTCGCGTGCCAAAACAAGGACAGCTTTCCTTTCCTCATTTCGTGGGCCAAAACAAAGATAGCTTTCCTTTGTACAGAGTGAAGTTTTCGAATAGAGGCTCAGTAGTTCTGCACTGAATCGAAAGCCAGCAGTGGTTGGAGAGCTGGTTTTAGTTACTTTCATGCGAAATTTTCTTCCGCGTAATGAACACCCTACCCTGATTGGCGTCACTTTTTCTGAAGTAAGGTGGGTTCATTACGCAAGTAAATACCGGTATTTGTTGAAATGTGCTAAAGTAAGAATGCTGGTGACACTATGCCATGCTAAGGTTTACTTCGGAGCAATCTGTGGAAATTGCAATAATATGGAAGCACTCGAGATGCACTGCGTACCAGTGATGATAAGGATGTACCCATTGCGCCAACTGCTTCACATGGGAATATCTTTGAAAGACTGATGTGTAGCAAAATTATACAAATATTTTATGAAATCAGCAAAATATTTATATTTCAGTTTCACCACTTAACATTCTTTTATCTGTATTTGCGTTCAAGACTTTGCATCCCTGCCCGCCAAGCTGTATGCTTCATTTAGGCAAAGGTGGCGATCCTAAACAAAGCATAAAGCTAAAAAGAAAATCACAGAGTACTTACCGGGCGGCCAAATCAGGCTCCGCCCCGTGCTTCAACAACACCTCGGCACATGCAACCAAGGTTGCCTCGGAATCACTCCGACTGCTGCACACAGCCAGCAGTGGTGTGGTAATACCTGCAACACCAGTGAAATAACACAGTAAATAAATAATATTTGAGACTAGATGAAGAGTATGTTGCTGGTATGCAGACTAGTGAACAGGTAAAACTTATCAGATATCACCTGATAGATTACGAACACTAGGCGTCTTAGGATGCTTGAGTAAAACATTATAGCACAGCACCTAGCTAGGACTTCACAATTAATTCTCAAAGACAGCTAGAAATCGTTTCTTCTTCTTTCAACATATGATGCCATATCCCCTTCAACGGCCGTTTGAAGAAGCACGCAGTGTGTGTTTCTTAATACTGGATCAAAACGCATTGTGCACATTTGTGCAGTCTTCCTGAGAGAAGAACTAGCAGTCATTGAACTTCATTCTGAATCTGCTGCACATTGCTACAGCAAATCACTTTTCTAGAGGTGCTACTATGTTCGGCGAACGGGGGAGTTGCCGCTAGGGGTCGAACAAGGCAGACGTGCCTTGCATGGGCTCCACCTTCAACAAGCTCTGTGAGTGTTTTATACCAGTTTTGTAAGTGAACTTCGGGGCTGAAGTGGGCAGTTTCATCGGCGGGACTATCTGTGAGTGTTTGAGCTTCGACGGATCTCCAATACTATTTAATTGGCCTGAAGTGAAGAGCAGGTGCCAGCCCCGATAACCCTAACGCCGGCAGCGTTGACGACAGGAACGCGCGTTCCGCCACAGTCTGCTGCCACCATGGCGTACACAGTCACAGAGCTTCAACCCTCTGCGTTTAAGGGGGGAGGCTACCCTGGAGACCGAACTTTTTTATTTTTTAAGATATCTGGATGAAACTTTCAGGGGTTGTTCACTACAATAAAACTAGCACAACTGCTAAGCTTCACGAAGCTGTGTTTCTTAGTTCCAGAGTTATTGAGGTTTAACTGGGTGCTTCACATGGGTGCCTGAGGAAGAGTCGTGAGAAATCCCAGGACATAGTAGAAAGCTGAAATTCATTGTGGTCATTCCTTGATAGCTATCCCAGGGCGCTACAAAGCCGTTTTTTTAATTCCCCCCCCCCCCCAAAAAATTTTCACGCAACTTTGAATTTGATGTAACCAGTAATGACCAGATTCATCAAAAATTAATTGTTTATTATAAATTAACAGCACCAATTTTCAAAAAAAAGGAGCTTGTTACGCCCTTGCAAGGTCACTCAGGAACAGAATAAAAAAAACGGCACACAAATCTGATGAACGGTTTTCAAGTTCTTGCTTTCCTCAGCACCACAACTAGCAAAAAAATCCGTTCTGAGAAAACAGGCCGAGAAAGTTCAAAACACGTGTTTTCTTCAAAAAGCTCCAGCACAGTAGCTAAAAGTGTCCTGGCGCACTCTTTTCTTCTTTTGCCTGGCCTCCATCTTCTCTTGGTGTCTTTTAGAATTCTTTTTTAGGCGTAAAGCGTCTTTTTCACGAGCTCGCTGGATGGCCAGATGACCTGGTTGAAGTCCAATGGAGTCCGATATCACTTGGGTTGCTTTGCAGCAGCCGGCATTGTAGCGCAGCACTGCTTCATGCAGTGCTGTTTCTACCGCGATCAAGGATGAGTGTTGTTCCTTCGGCATCAGAGACCACAGAATGGAGTGGAATGATTCTGATGCATTTTGCGTCTTCGCTCCCAGGCAGCGCTGAAGAAGCGACTTTTGTGACAGTCTTTCGTAGATGGGCAGCATAGCTGCAGCGACATAGTCGGGTAGGCTGTGTTTATGTTTTGGCTGTGGCTCACGCTTTGCCTCTGCAGCTCTATGGCGGCACCACGATTGAGCCCCCTCTGGGCAAAGTTCATGGTGAGGGTCCTGGTCAGTCGATGTGACGTGGTGATATGTTGCCATTACTGCACGCTGCATGGCTGTTAGGTCAGTTGAATTGTTTCTCAGGGCCCAACCATAATATCCTGTCAGCTTTTCAATGAGGGCTTTAGTCAGCTTCCCCTTCCAACTAAGTGGCTTATCACTTTTCTGCACAATGTTTCGAAGAGCACTTCCAATCCTTTTCTGAACATGGTTCAGACATTCTTCTTTTACAATTGGCACTAGCCCGTACACATTCTCTTCTGTGAGGGCAGCGAAGGTACGGCTGTCTCCGTCGGACACAAGAGTGGTGTACCGCAGGCCATGCTTGGATACAGACCGCCCAAAGAGAGTCAAGCCTGCCTCCACTTCCATGCTTCCCGATTTTGCGTCTGTGTTTTTCTGGCAAATGTGGTGCTTCTGCCAGCTTTCGTATGCTGCATCTCCAGGTTTGGGCCCTGTTTGGCATCCAAGGCAGTGGTTTGAAAGAACTACAGCATCCAAGATGAGACCTGTAAAGAAGTCAATTACCGATCCCACTCCGATGTGTGATGTGTGACCCTGCTTATGCCATGTGCCATCGTACACTACGGTGATGTCCTTGCAGAAGCTGGGGTCCATTTCTTTATATGTTTTGATCACTGCTGTGGCAGAATCAGCATAAAACTTCTCCAAAGCGGTGGCCTCTGGCTTCCTGAACGTCTCTTTCAAGTGCTTTTCAAACGTCTTGTGGTGAAGACTTATGTAAGAGACGTTCATGGCAGCCCAAAAGTCATTAAGAGCTGTTTGCCCCTTGCCTATTTGCTTTATAGCCATTATGGCGCGGACATTTACATCGAAGGCCTGCGTGTCCTTTTTGCGGGGTGATGTCCATAATTTATCGACGGTGCCACAAGAGGCGCACACGACTTCAAGTTTTGTTGCAAGTCCAAGCTTGGTGCTCTCTCGGACAGTCATAGCACCTTTCAAACATTCTTTGCACACTGTGCGGCTGAGCACGACGTTAAAGATGTTCATTTGAACGAGCGAAAAATGTTCGCCCTCACTTGTCACTGCAGGTGCAAGAGCCGGCTGCATCAGTTGAAATTTCTTCTGCGTCGCCGGCGTAGACTCGAGTTCAGCGCGAACGGCGTCACGACGTTTCGCATTCGCATCGATTTCTTCCTTCGTTAGGAAACGCGTCCGCAGATGAAGCAACGGTCCACTCACGCTCGATGGCGGCACCGATTCAGACGAAGTGCTGGGTCCAGCGATATCAGAAGCACTCGGTGTGACACTGGATGGCATCGATTCGGAGCACGTGTCGAGCCCGGCGATCTCGGAAACACTCGGTGCATTTGCAGCTCCAGCCACGCTCGATGTGTCGGATTCTCGACTGGCGACAGCCGACAACACAGTTCCATCGCTGCAAGCGTCTACGCAGTCGGCACCCGCAGCAGAATAGCGGAATTTCGATGATCGTACAAGCCGCATAGCGCCTCCGCGCACCGGACTTCCGCACTGACTTCAACTTCGTTGCCGGCATCGCCCGCAACAACAAAGACGAAAGGCACAGAACTAGTGCAAAAAGAAAAAAAAAACGAGAGAAAATGATCGAAAAGATAGCACAAGGCGAAGAGCGGCTCGTAAGCAGACGTCTGTCGAGGCGGACGGAGCAGAGAGCAACAACGAAGCGAGCGCGCTGGACGCGCCATCGAGAGGAGCGACCGCCCCCGCTGCTGCACAGCAGCCAATGGCGGGCACGCTTTCTCCCGCGAGATATGAATGCGCTGCTCTAGCCAATCAGCGCTCCGCATCGCATCGCGGAAAAACGCCAATAGCGTCTCAACTGTGCTGCCGACGCCATTTTGCAAGGCGGCGAACGAGAGAGAAAGAATTTACGGTCAAAAACAACACCAAGAAGGCGCGGGACGACCGCATGGTCCGGGAATGGCGCGCGCGCGAAGTTTGGTTTGGTTTCGGGATTTGCGCCTGTTTTGGACGCCGCGGCGGCCTCGAAAATAGTATTTTTTTTGCACTTTGCGGTTGAATTAGGTGCTGATAATTACAGAATAGGTAGTTTATGAAACATACAACCCAAAAATGTGGTTTTTCAAAAACCGACTTTTTCGCGATTTTTCGGTTTTCAAGGGCCGCGTCCCCCCTTAATCCGGATGAGTGGAAAGAAGTACTCAATGCACGACAGAAGCACCATACACAGAAATCCAAGACCGATGCGCTTTCCCAAGCGGAAAACGCCAGCGTTGCTGCCGAGCAACAACTTGTCCACCAAGACTCCGTCAAGACGCCAGCAGAGAAAACAGGCACCAAAGCGTTCGCTGCACGCCCCAGATGCGGCCAGATACCACAGTTACCGATGGATGATTTCAAGGTTGTTTATCGCCCAAACGCTGGCATCAACATGGCAGCATTCACAGAGCGAGAATTGCGGGCCGCATTGATGGACAGTAGTGCCTTGTGAAGTCCAGCACCCAAAGTGACCTCACACGCACCAATTTGGTGAAGAATGTTTTCACAATGTCCACGGTGTGCCATGAGAGAGCGGTCAAGTGCGCACACATAAGGCAGATTACTCTCCGCGGCAAGACAATTGCAGTCAAGGCCTACATCGCACCTTCTGATCGAGCCATCCAAGGTATTATCTATCGAGCATATAATGAAGAATCGCCTCAGGAGATCCTGCAGGAACTACGGCAATCTAATCCGCTGCTCCCTATTGTGCAGGCTCGGGACATAGGCTGCACATCAAAGTCAGTGCTGATCCACTTCATGTCCGACACTCTTCCAGAGTCGGTCAAGTTTTTGAGCTCAGTCTTAGGAGTCGACTCCTTCAGGCCTAAAATGGAGGCTTGTACGAACTGCCGACTGGATGGGGTATCGAAGAGACGTCTGCCCAGAACCCTGCGCTACCATTGCCTTGACTGCGGACAGCAACACCCGGCTGACCAGCAGTGCTACCCCACTTGTAGTGCCTGCGACCGAGCTCACAAGACCGGCGACAGACTTTGCCGCCGTCGATACCAACGTGGTAAGACCCAGTGGGAAAGAAATCCCTCACCACATCAGCCCCAGGAGACGCCGGACATTCACTTCAACCAGACTTCATTTCCTCTACTGAATTCAGCAACCAATGGACAAACCGGAAGTAGGAGTCGGAAACAGAACATACCCCATGTGACGCCAATGGTGAACCAAGACCCG